CTAGTATAATGAACAATTATAAATTAATAAAACAGAATAATTAATAAGGTAAGTAATAATTATATTATTAATTAAATAATAAGTAAAATAATAATTATAAATTAATAATCCATTTGTTGAATTTTATTATCATAAACAAATAATCTGTGCTTGCGTAGCGTGTGTACAATCTCCACCTCGAGATCAGAAGATGACGAACAAAATAAATTGAATTTTCATCTTTCAACCCTCAGCAGCAGTTGAATCGATTTTCTATAGTATATATAATCTATTTTCTACTATATTCTACAGTGAAATTTACCACAGTAATATAATCAAAAATTTATAGAAGAGAAGTAAAAAATCCTGTCTACTAACTGATCGGTATACTTTATGATCAGACTTATTGTTAGTAGAATCTGCCGTTGCGTTTATGCTCGTTTCACATTGAGGCAAATGTACGTGTGATATATCGTTGAACGCGACGTGACGGTAAATGTAATTGGACGCATAATCACTCGTTGCAACAAATCTCAATTCACAGAGAAGCAATCAAATCATCGAAAATACGAGGAAACACGAGGCATTATCTCTTCTGAGAGATCATTTACTCCGAAATCAACGAAATTGCGTTGGAGATTTCATTTCCGAGAAAGTTTGAAAACTTGTCAAACGTGGCGTGAATTTGCCTAATTGCTATAAATGTGTCAGACAATCTTTTTCTTATCTCAACTAATATTTTTAATTTATATCTGATTGCTAATTTTTATTCTGTTCACTTCTGGTTGTGTTTCCTGCAATTTTTGTTCTATGTATTATTTATCCTTGTACCAAAGTTAAAGTTATCTCGTACAATGAGATTAATGAAGCTAAATGCTTTAGAATATATAATTTCGACAATTTTGTACGCAGATTTTGAATGGAATTGAGAATATTAGTTACACTAATTCTTATATTCTAAATATCAGATTAGTTACACTAATCTTATATTCTCCATTTTACAGGTTTTTCACTGTACGCTCGGAATTCTAATTGCATCTAATCAATTATTTCGTAAGATATTTTCATAAACTAGTTTATTATACCATCCATTTAATCAATTTCTACACGCACGAAGAATAACTGAAATTATTTTACGTTCTAGGCAAACAAAGAACATTCGCAACTTTGGAAAATCGCTCGGATTAGCGCCAATTGCGGGGAATGCCTCTGTGACGTGTATTTTTCGCACACTTTCACGTTAACTGCGATGAAAAATGATTTAAAGCAAGATCTGTCGGTTATCATGTGCATATCGTAAAGTAGTGCAGGATCGTATCGAAACAAATCATGGAAAGACAAACGTAATCGGTGCAACTCGTTTCTCTGTTTTCACGATCAGGTTTACCGTCAGACACTTACTAGCCGTGCCGCTGACACTGGCATTGGCCTACTCTCTCCGGTATAGTTCGTTCTCCCCTGCTTACCTTCATAGTCTCGCTTTCTTTCGTATGTTTTCGTCTTATCGTTCGAACGGCGGACTCACTCTGCTCGCGGAAAACTCGAATGCCCAATTAAGTTTGTTTGAACAAACGTTCGCGACACGTACGAAGAATGCGATGCTGTTACTGGATGCTGTCGCGTCTCGCAGGGAAATGAAGAATTAAACTACATTTTCTACCCGAGACGAAATAAATGTTTCTAACATTAGAAAATATGAAAAAGTTTGAACGAAATATGAAAGATTTCTTATCGTAGCGTATGTACCATTTTTTGGCACGTCTTCTCAAGACATTAGAAATCTTGTCTTTGTTCGCTAAACTGAATGTAACTATTGAAATTAATTAAATTTGAAGATCGTGGCATTTACACGAAAAGAGAGATGATGACAACAGTAACGATAATGTTAATGCCAATGATAATAATTATAACGATAAAAGGAGAAGTCGCGTTTTTTCGGTACGACCTAGTTTTCAATGAGAAAAGTCATCCGTTTCTCGTTCGTTGCCGTATCAAGTACCATGTAATACAGATCGACACACGTGAATACGTTCCATCCAGTATGTGAGCACATGACCGACCGACCGGATAGGACAAGTGTCGAGTGGATAAGTGCCTGCGAACCTTTTCAGTTTGGAAACGTGTGCAAATACATATGTACGACGCACACGACGCATGTGAACGCGCGACAGCCCGATACGAAACGTAAACGTATTCCAGTTCTTCCTTGCATTTTTATTGTACACTGTATCCTGTCGTATTCGTTTACACGTTCCTTCATTGGGTTGTTTAAAAAATTTCTAGCGTCTCTTTGTTATTAGACTTCTATCAAATAATTATATTTGCAATTGGATATTAAAGAGAACTGAAAGGAAAGTTTCAAAAATCTACCGAATACAAATAATATACATGTAAGAATATGTCAAAGTAGGCAAAGTAGAGGCCTTGTTATTTCTACTTGTTACTAGAATCTATTTCTTTAGCTATGTTTAGATTTATAAAAATATAAAATAATTTTCTAAAATCTTTTCCAACAGCTTAATTAGTTTTCCGAACTGACCGTTAAGAGTGCGAATGTTTATGTAAATTCATATTTTTAAGTTCAATTAATAAATCATTCAAAATATTCTAAATATATAAATATTACATTATAATATTAATATAAATATATGATGTACGTATACTTAAATTTTATAACAAGTGCTACATGCATCCCATATAATTTCGCATATCACACGCATTCTGCGTATTTTTTTTTTTTTTTTGCACTTTTTAGTTTCTCGTCATAAATGCGCAACATCCACTGTTTATTGATTATGATCGTGCTGCATCGTTTCTACGATTTACGTTGCGAAATGAAAACGTGCAAGAATCGCGCGTTCGAGATACAACGGACACGCTCGTGATCATTATTGTTGGAAACTTTTATTTGAATGAAATCGCACTTTCTTTTACAGTGTACACGCGTATCGGAGTACTTTTCGTTCGAGGACAGGCAAAGGTCCACAACAACCAAGGAAACTGAGGTACGGTGCAACGACCGATCGTCAAGTAGGTCGGTTGTGGGCGCACGCAATCGTCGCAACGATTTTGAAAAACTGTCGTTCTACTTTTACATGGGAGCACTTTCACGGTCGCTAACCCCACGACAACGACACTTGCCATATATTTTGCATCCTTATGTATCACATACGTACGTATACATATGTGATACATATGTGCTAGGCTACCGGCCATAAGTATTTATTACATTAAGACGTCTACTCGTCATAAAAAAAATCTTAAGCTTCATTCTATCTGCATCATAGGTGACACCGTTAATTATTAATCTGACGGATAAGTATGACATTGTACGTGTAAATTTCTTTGGGAATGTAACACATGATGTTAACACATACTCTTGAGTGTCTATCAGTACACTGGTTTTTGAAGATGCAAAAATACACAGAATACATACAACACGCGAACATTTATCTAAAGAAAGTTTGTCTGTTTATCTAAAGAAAGAGAAATGAGAAACAGCTTGTCATTCTCGCTATTCCTTGAATCTCATTTATATTAATCAAATTGTTTGAATTCAATTTTCTTGGATTCATTCGACTGATTCATATGAGGCTTTACAAACAGTACATAACATAAAAAGTAGAACGAATTCAAATCGTGGACAGAGAGGATGTTTGTTGTTACTCATCCTTGACACCGTTTACGAATCAACCCTACTCGTGATCACACGCATGTGCGATTAGTCGATCGAACGTTGTAGCGTCGCAATTGAAATCATCTCACAAATCAAGCACGACACTGTGTAGTTTACTACAATTTTCTGTCTAGCATAGCATCAATCTACGAGGAAAAGAAACCTTTTGTTGGCACAATAATGCACCAATTATTGCGAGATACAACCATCATTATCAGAACAAAATAATCGAAAGACAAAAGCGTTATTTACTTAAAAACATAGTGATGGATTCCTATTCTCCTCAATTAAGAACTTCAATTGAATAAAAATTCTAAGGTCGACTATACATATGATTTGAAAACAATTCTGTCCATTTCTATTCATCAAAGAGACTTTTTTTAATATATGAGGGGGACACTTTTTATCATTTGTATTCTATTTCTACTATAATCCTCGAATATTTATATTTCACTCTCATTCTCTTTTTAGTAAAAAGATTGTAATTTAACATGAAATTGAGATAAGAAATTACGCAATAAGAATTCTTCTAGGTTTTGTACAAGCTAAACATACCTCCTCATGTTAGAAAAATATAATTTGTCACAAAACTCACTATTTGCAAATTGCTAATTTGTCGAGAACATTTTCAATGTAAGACTCCAACAAGTAATAACAAATAATAATTAGTAATAATAAAATAATTATCAAATAACATATAATAATAATATATATAAATATATATAAATGTTGATATTAACAGTATTTCAATTATCTTATATATATATTTAATTATTATTTATATATATTACTGTAATATAATAAAATAATTATCAAATAACATATAATAATAATAATATATAAATAATAATTAAATATAAATATATATATATATATATACAAAGAAAATTGAAATACTGTTAATATCAACATTTCAAATTAGCGAGAAACAAGAAAGAAATGAAAAATTTGCATACTTGTAGTTTTATCTCCGTCGTCAATAAGAATCGTCTTCTCTCGTGAAGAATAATTGAAATACTCTCGTGTTCTAAATATATGTGAGTAAACAACACGGGAAGAAAAGAATTTGCACGCTCGTACGCGTATTTGCGATCATTGGTGGCGTACGGGAGGGGAATTGAATTACGCGTTCGTTTTCTTTTCCCAAGAAAAGAGGGCGAGACAAATCTCCGAACAGAAAGATAAACGGAAGGGAAAGAATTACGCGAATTGGGGGTGTTAGCGTAAAGCGAAAGAAAGGAAAGACGAAAGTAGTGGAACGGAGAACGAAGAGAAAACGCGAGTGCGGGTGCGCGACTGCATGCGTCGCTGCGACGACGCCATAGTACCGCAACCCGCCGTCCATCATCGTCTCGGCGCCACAGTCTTTCTCTCCGTATGTACGGAGCCGGCTGAGCCTGATCGTTCAGCACGTACTTTCCTCCCTTTCCTTTTTAACGTGCACGTCTACTCTATTTCGACACGCTTCTTTTACAATGGTAAGTGGAAACAGTCCGAGGCTGAAAAGCTGCGAAGCTTGTCGCCGCTTGAAACTCTTGTCAGAGGCACGCGCATTTCCCAACAACCGAACGCGAATTCGATAATTCGAATAATTCTCAGATCGACGCGTCTCGTTTACTCTTCGACTCGTTTTCTTCTCCAACGTTAACTAACTGCGAAGTCTCTCCCCTTTGAGCCTCGAGTTTGAATCGAACGCATCGTTCCTTTAGTAGTTGTCTCGCACTCCTGTTAGTGGTTGCACGTAATTCACCTTTCTTTTCTTATTGAAAGCCAGTTCTTGTTACGATTTGAACGGAACTTCCCATTGTCGTTGTCAGTAAATCGACTTGACTATTTTTCATTCCCCTCGGCATTTTGTGCGCGACGGTACGCGGTCCAAAGAACGAAAATTGAAATGGGAAACAACATATCGAGGATTTTATTCCGTAAACGGAGCTTCTCTGAATCACCGCGAGATAGCAGCACCTCTCTTGGAATTAATTTTTTTTTTTTTTTTTTATCGATACGGTCACCTCTTCGTGGAATTTTTTTCTTTTTTCACTCGTCGAGATTGTAAAAAATAAAAGATGAAACAAAACCGTATTCTCTTTACCTTCTTAATTAAACGTTATTCTTCCGTCTCAAAGGGGGTAACAACATCGTCTTCGTCTTCGTCTTCGTCTTCGACTCCGTCTTCGTCTTCATCGTCGTCTTCATTTCTCTCCTCGTCGTCGTGGTCATCGTCTTCATCGTCGTCACCGTCGCCCTCACCGTTCGTCATCGTTCGTCGTTCCTAGCTCGATCCTCGAGACCCTCGTCTTGCTAACATTTCTTATCATTTAACACCAATGCATCTTGAAATTGTATGTAAAAACCTTCGCAGGTACTTGCCGACACGAATTTGACAAATCTTCTTCACGAGCAGCAACAGCAGCAGCAGCAACGGCAACAGGAGCAGCAACAATGCCAACGTAAATGTTATTACGAAGGTAATAGACAATTTCCATTAGAACGGGAGAGTCGGCAATGCAAGTCCACGGAAAATGGGAATTCCGAGGAGATAACGGTGACGAATGTGGCGGATGGAGAGAGCTTGTGTTACAGTTTAGCTCTGATACGAGGTCACGCCTCGATGGCATACAGCTTCATCACCGTGCGAAATGAAAAGAACCAAAGCTCCGAGTGGCCGATCGTCTCCGGTGAATTTCGTGCGATAGTAGAATTGTCACGAGGCCCGAACAAGTTGGAGCTAGAAGTGGCAGGTCAGAAAAAGGGACTAGTTCTAATTTACGAGCCGAGAACGACAAGACTACGCGTGACGCCCGTCTACGTGATCTGCGCCGGACACGACGGTTACTTCCAAGGTCCACGAAGGGAGGATCGGTCGCCGGAAAGTGCCGCGACAAGGATAGGTCTCGGTGCCCGACTCTTGCAGACCCTCACCGCCGAGAAGTTGAGGGAGGCGGGTTACGGAAGGAAAACGTTTCAACTGGAACGAGATTTGGACGGTGCGGAATGTTTGGTAATGCACAGCATGCTCGATGTCGATCGAGCCCGTGCGATGAATCAGCGGGAACTTTGGGAATTGATCGCACGAGAATTGATGACCGGCCCACTGGCATCGAAAGATCGCAAGTATCTCGCATTTCTTTCCTGCACCAGATATCGAGGCGCTCCGAATCCACGCACTCACGAAGACACCCTCGCGAGGACGCAAGGACACGCCGCGCTCGGCGGAGGCGGATTAGCGTTGTTCGGTTCGGCTTGTCTTCACACATGGCCTACCTGCATGGCGCAAGTACTGCCCAGATTCCTCGATGCCACGGTCATCGATACGGAACAACTGATGGACGATAGTAATTATCGTGGTACTCACGGCGGATGCCTCGCCACGACTCTTGGCTCGGTTCTCCACGAGCTGGGGCACACTTTTGATCTCGGCCATACTCGCGAAGGCATAATGGGCCGCGGATTCGATTACGTCGATCGTGTCTTTGTCGGAGCGGCTGGGATCGATTTCAATCGCAACCCCGTTTTACGAAGAGATCCTCAGCACACGACAATCGCACTAAGCAGACCGCTCAGCGTGACGGTCACGATACAAGAACCATATGCCATGTTAGCGAGTCCTCGAAGAAATCGCCTTCTTTCTGAATCGTCTCGTCCTTCGTCTTCTCAGAGTCCTTCGCGATTGCTCGCAGGCAGACTGTCCGCACCTGCTAGTCCAGAGCTAAACAGATCCTTCTCTAAGAGTCTCATGCAACCTGCAACGGAACAAACTCCTTCCAACCTGCAAACTGATCGTACATTTTGGTCACCGTCTTGCGCTGCGTTTCTTGCTTATCATCGATGGTTCAACAGCGAAATGGACAACGTTTATAACAGACCTTTCCATGACATCGACTACGATGGGAAGAGGTATGGCATTTCTCTTCAAATACTGATCCATCAATACATACACATCCAGAAACGTACACACGCACTCATCACTCGCTCTACCCAGTGTGTTCTGCTGCTACTATAATTTGGAAAACGACAATTATATGTACATATATATATTTGCTTTTGTTTATAGGAACGTCGTAAGATCACGTTTCGGAGTACGAGTAATAGAGCTTAGAGAAACATCTGGTGGAATGGTAGTCGGTTCTCGACAATTTCCAGGCTCTCGACCACCTCTGGAAGCGTTAGTTCCACCAGCTCCGCCTCACTGTCTTACCGCGCTGACTCTCGTCGCTGAAGATTCGACTGGCAATGTTCTGAAATATCCACTTCCAACGGCGTTTTAAAGTATCTAAGGTCACTGTCACTCTGCCACGATTTTATACCTTAAAAACGGGAACATAGCCAACACCAAAATTGATGCCAATGAATCAACGTCCTGTTTTTTTGTAATTTTCGCATAGCGAGTAAGCGATACGATTAATGATAATGCTTAATAACGCTAATTTGAACAAACTTCAAGCTCAACATGTATTTGCTTTCTAATTATCAATGTTTCCTATAAGCTTGTTTCTCTAATACACTATATATATTTGAAGAGACATTTTTCCCAGTTTTATCGGTTTTTGTGGAAACCGTAACTGCTTTCCGTATTGAACTTTGAGAAAAATTTATTGTCCTGTGTATACTATTTCTAACAAAATAAAATCATAAAGAAATACAGGAGAAAGAGAGAGAGAGAGAGAGAGAGAGAGAGAAATGTATGTATGTTTAAATGAGAATTTTCATACGATGCTACTAATACTTCGTTTCATTAAATTCTCTAACACCTTTTGTAAATACCATTCCAAATATAAATTTTTGTAGCAACTATTCATACATTGTATTTGATAAAAAAAATATATTGTACTAATATTTATATGTACGAATGTATGAACGAATGTATACAATTACAATACGGAAAGGATGAATATAAAAACTAGAATCTCAATTTCTTATTACCGAAAATGCGATAAAATTGTGAAATTTATAGGTATGTATAGTATAATAATTACGAATTTAGTTTGATATAACATTTTCAACTGAGAAATAACATTAATAACCGACATATTCTACAAACTTCAAGTTACACGATAGTAACTAGGATGCCTTATTGACGATAATAATTTGTAGATATAACTAGTATCAAAATGCGAGACAACTAATAAAATTGTGAAAATAATTTTACCAGATACTATTACTAATTAAGAAACCTTCGTAGAATCAATCCAATTAACGACGTAATCGAAATATATTTTATATGTTCTTATACTACATACACACTGGTAGAAATGTTTTGTCCTTGGAAATAGAAATATGAAAAAAGAGAATGATAAGAAATATATTTCAAGGCTATCGATTACGTTCTAAAACATTAGTAATAATCATTAGTTTATCATGCTGTCGTTATGTGTAGTAATTGTAAAAAGTAAATATTCAACACAGATTCTATCGTGAACTGTTGATCAATTCTGTAATAAGGCAAAAACCAACAAAGTATGAAAAAACACTATTAACATATTTTAAAACAAAAACACTGTTATTATATACCATTTTTTGTGGTTATAACTAAAATTACGTTATCCTAACACAGAATTATGTTGTCACCTTCTTCGAGTGCTGGCGATAATAAGGATGTGCTTGCCAATGAAATCGAAGTATTATTTCCAAATATCATAGACGACAAAATAGAAACTGTAGAATTTTTGGATGCAGCACGAGGCATTGTAAGAATTATTGGTATGTACTTTACATACCTTTACAATCAATGGTACATAACCTACACAAAAATTAAAGACCTAAAGAAGTATACGATAAATTTCAGAAAAGCTTGGTAAAGTGTTTGCTCCAGTTAAATATGATATTCAAGGCAACATTAATGTAAGTACACATTTTAAAATGTAATCATTTGTAAAGATAATCATATATACATACGTAAGCCTCACCTAAGCATTATTCTAGAAACTCACAACCCGATATGCAAAGGACGAAGAAAAAAATGCGACTCTACAAGACATGATTTTAATTGAAAAAAATACTGAAACCAATTTAATCGCTACGGATGCTTTAATGTGGTTAACAAGGTGCGTGCAACTCTATCCATTTTTATTCTCTCCAGTTTTTCGCTTAGATTCCATTCAATTTGAGTCAAGTGTATTAACGCGTCTTTATCGCTTATTGTGTTTATTACTTAAACCGCAACTCCATGTATAATGTATGAATTCCAGAGGTTTGCATATGATTTTGCTATTTTTCGAGCAAATTATCGAAGATGCCAAAACAACTACACCAACAGAGGATTTAGTAGCATTTTTAAAAAAAGCTTATAAAGAAGCTTTAGAACCGTATCACGGCTGGATGGCGCAACAACTTTTTGACGTAAGTCAATATTTGCCACCAAGGTGTACACACAAAAGATTATTCTTTCTTCTCTTATTATGCAAAATGCATTTTTTTTATTATATAAACACGTTTTTCATTGTATGATCATATTTCCAATTACTTTATCTTCAAGAATAACATGCAACGCGTAATCGCGTATTGAATTTGACGAGGTATAAGTTTATAATTTTCAAAAAAATTATAAATAATTTTTGTAAATAACCTCTTCTTTGTCTATATACGATTATTAACTATAATTCTCGACTTTTCGTTAACAGCTCCTTTCGCTCATGGTGCCTACACGTTCACAACTTTTACAAGCACTTACTAATAAACAAACAACTGAGAATAGCACTGTTATACAAAACATGGAATTTTATTTACAGCGCTTACAAAAAAATGTGTCAGTAATACAGTCATTTTATAAAGCTAATAATCTTGATCCTTCAAGATAAAATATTGTTAGTCTTAAAATTGTATTCATTAAGTATCATGTTAATTAAGAATATTAGAAGGTAAAATTGGACAATAGTACTGTGATATAATACACTAGTGTATTGTATAATAACTATACTTAACTTATATTTGCTCAAAAATCTATATATAATTCCTAGTTATAATGTTATTTTAGGACATTCACATTATGTACATGTATCATATAAATGCATTAAGTAAAATACTTTAGCACGATGATCTGCCAAATTCATTAAAGCAATCATGCCTGTAATAATTTCAATAAAAAGAAGACAAACCATGAAAAAATTGATTAACGTTTCGCTATAATGAGATAATATCCCATGATCAAAAAGAAGAAATGCCTCTAAGGGAAGTTGTATTAATATTGAGATTAACCAACAACTAGTTAATTCTGGAATCTAACAACAGCTTTCTTGTCATAACGAACAATTATAAAGAAGATTAACAAAATCTATTGCAAATAAAGTAAGATTACCTTTCCAGTAAGATTTCCCAGGTATCCTAAATATAATTTTAAACTTTCAAAAATCGAAAGTACCAGAAATGTTGCTACAGCTAACAATTTATAAATGTTTGACAAATTATTGTACTGTAAAAAAAAATAATAAATAAAATTAATATATTTAAGTTCAAGCTATATTACATGACGATTTTACAAATAATTACTTTTGCATCCAAGTTTACAATAGAAATCAACAGCCAAATTGGGAAAAGCCATAGGTTCACATACAGAGCTATTTGAAATGGTAAATTAGATCTTGTTTTATTACCTGTAAATATATATATTTTATTTTAAACAAGATATTGTCTTTTAATTAAATAAACATATTCAATATAAATTGTAACTTACGATCATGGTACATCAATTTAGAAAATGTTTCATTAGTAATATTTGTTATAGGGAACTGTGACATGATAATAATAACGTAGTTGGGATCGATTTTTCTTAAATAACAATTTCCATTAAACGTTTTAAGGAAATGTTTACATTTTTGTGTTATCTTAAATTTGTATCCATTCACCATTCATATATTTATATATTTCGTACATTGATCTTATTTTACATTTTGTTTAACACACATACACATATGTATATACAGTTTTGATCTGGAATCTTCCGTGTAATACATTTCTTTTTTTCATTCTATCTCTTTTCTTCCCCTTTCTTTGTACTTTTCATCCCTCTTGATTGCTTACTCATGGTAAAATTATTTAACAAGAAAAAAGATATAAAAATATACAAGTTTTAAATATAACGAGAAAACATTGTAGAAGTCACGTCAATTAAAAATGAACAACAGTGATGATTGAGAAAAATCTACATTAATCTGAAAGTTTCCAAGCTTACTGCGACTGATTTGATCCACGTAGTAGCGTGACATGTGTTTTGTGGTTCGAGGCTGAAACGGATTGCGAATAAAGTGACAAACAGAAAACGTTTATAAAATTTATATAGTTGTGCGTACAAGCTCATGCGGCATTCGATCTGTTGAAACAAATTAGCTTTAATTTGTTGTAGAACGTGAAAATTTTTTATCAAATTTGATCAGTTATTTGAAGAGTAACGTCAATCATTTCGGATAAAGGTTATCCGATCCGTTTTCATTCTTATAAAGGTGACAATTTCTGAAATGGCTGGTGCAATGTTGTTCGAACGTGCACAAGCAGTTTCGATGACGAATCGTAGCGAAGGTATTTCACTTTTAAGTGAAATCGTCTCCGATCCGAGTATCGGTGTTACGGAGGATGACGAAGATAACATTCGGGTGAAAGAACAAGGTATTCTACATCTTGGTGAACTTTACAAGAAAGAAGGCAAGGCGAAAGAATTGGCGGAGTTGATCAAAGCTACAAGACCATTTCTTAGCTTGATCAGCAAAGCAAAGGCTGCTAAGCTTGTACGATCTTTAGTAGACTTTTTCCTGGACCTAGAAGCTGGGATTGGCATTGAGGTATAGTATGCAAATAATTTTGATCACATTTTCATGAACAATTCACTACAACCTCCCATTTGTTGGCAGGTTCAACTGTGCAAAGAATGTATAGAATGGGCAAAGGAGGAACGTAGGACATTTTTAAGGCAGTCGTTAGAAGCGCGTTTAATAGCATTATATTTCGATACTGGAATGTATAGCGAAGCGTTACAGTTGGGATCGGCTTTACTTAAAGAGCTTAAAAAGTTGGATGATAAACAACTTTTGGTTGAGGTGCAATTGTTGGAAAGTAAAACCTATCATGCGTTAAGCAATTTAGCAAAAGCAAGGGCGGCCCTTACCAGTGCTAGAACAACTGCTAATGCAATTTATTGTCCACCCAAAATGCAAGCTGCTTTAGATTTACAATCTGGGATTTTACATGCTGCGGATGAGCGAGATTTTAAAACTGCATATTCTTATTTTTATGAAGCATTTGAAGGGTAGGTTATTTTGTTCAACGTACCTTGTACTTAAGGATAACTGCCATATTTATGTTTATGCATTCTGATTAATCTACTTTATTTCTTTCCAGATACGATAGCGTAGAAAGCCCGAAAGCCTTAACAGCTTTGAAATATATGCTGCTTTCAAAAATTATGTTACGTACACCTGAAGATGTTCAATCAATTATGTCGGGGAAATTGGCTGTTAAATACGCAGGAAGGGATTTAGACGCAATGCGGGCAGTTGCTGAAGCAAGCCACCGACGTTCATTAGCGGATTTTCAGACAGCTGTAAAAAAATATCGCCAGGAACTGGAAGATGATGTGATCGTGCGTGCTCATCTCGGCTCTCTCTACGATGCGATGCTCGAGCAAAACCTGTGTCGTTTAGTTGAACCTTACTCTCGTGTACAGGTACACACATCGTTTACCTTAGATCAGTTTAAGTTGATTATTTAAAATTTCATCACTTGCAATTTCATTCTTTTATTTAGGTCAGTCATATCGCGACCTGTATATCACTGCCACTTACTCAAGTGGAGAAGAAGCTTTCACAAATGATATTGGATAAAAAATTGAGGGGTGTCCTCGATCAGGGTGAAGGTGTTTTAATCGTTTTCGAAGATACTCCGCGTGATAAGACTTACGAGATTGCACTAGACACTATACACAGCATGGGGAAGGTTGTCGATACACTTTACCAAAAAGCGAAGAAACTCACTTAGCCTTATTTATTACATATGTCTAAACAACAACGTCTATACAACGTGTTATACAATCATGTATAGCAGATTTCATTTGTTGATTTGAAAAAAAATGATTCTTGATGTACAAAATATAAAATACAAAATGGTAATAGAATTGAAACGACACATTTTATCGATTTATCTTATTCAAAACGTTAAAAAAAGAATATATATATAATATATATATATATTCAATATTTGTAAAATTGTATGCTGTTTATTTTGAAAGGAATTACAATTTTTTTTTAACATGTCCAATGAAGCACTATTCCTTTTTTTTCTCTTCCCTATTTGTTGATCCAATCCCTTGTTCGACAGTTATAAATCATTATACAGTAAGTATTGATTTAGTTTCTGATATAATCAATCAAAATATTATTTTGTGCAATAAACACTACTTACATCCTTCACAACGAACACAATTTATCGAATTATATTTTCTTAATTCTATATTTTTGTTAAAGAGGATTCAAATTGTTCAAATTCAGACAAAACTTCTATTAGAATACCAATTAGTACGTGTAAAAGCAAAAGAATAAAGACATTTTGCGTTATCATCGTACATCTTGGCACACGATCATGATTATAATATTCTGTCAATCGGTCTTATGACATCTCGATTTTGATGAACAAAAAATAAGTTCACACGGATAAAGAGAAATTCAAATTTTGAGAAGGCTGTTGTAATTGCATTAACATTACAGATTCTGATTTGATGGCGTAGTAAGAATACTCGCCACGACTTCCTGTTTGAAGTTGTACGTTACAACAAAGGGATAGTGTGGTTATATTTTATAAACTTTTTTTTTTCATGGAGTGTATAATGGCGGATACTACAGCACAGAAGGTAAAATCTTTTATATTACAATTGGAACTACAGAGAACAAAGGTATCAAATTAAATCGTTTGTATCTGGCGTTTAATATACTACTAACATAAATGTTTAGGTTAATGGCAGCGTTTAACACACCGGCATCATTACGTTCCAAATAATACTTGCTGCTCCGTTATTGATATTTTCAAAAGTCTCAGCATCATTTTATCAACATCTATGCACATCAGTTTTTTAATTTTTTTTTTTTGTATTCGTAATAATTGGCCTTGGACAGTCAGCTTATCTCAATACTTACACAAAACTATATCTGTATTATTATATCGACGTTAGAATTCTTCTTTCGATTCTCTTCTACGACTTTCTATACCCGTTTGTTGTTTCAATCAACGTTTCAAGAGTAGTTCATGGACTTCGTTTTGTAAAATAAATATATTACCTGTAACTGCTATTACATATAATCTTGTTCTATTTATATTTAGGATATATATATATACCGTAAATGTAATTAAAACAAAGTACCAACTTTGAACTGAACGTAACCATCTTATTTAATGCATTTACCTTTCAAGTTTATCTTGCAGGTTCAAGAATACAAAGATTCTTTAAAGACAAAGGTAATTACTTGAATTTTCTCCGAATGTTCTCTGTAATTCATTTGCTATAAACTATATCATGCATGTGTAAAATTTATTTAGGCTGAACAACTGTTATTGAAAGGATTTCCAGAGAAGATTGTTAAGTTGAATGAATTATTGGAAACCCCTGGCTTCCGTAATAGGAAATTGTCAAATGTTCATCAAGACTTAAATGTGCCCATTCCAGATCCTATTATTCTTAATCATTCCGAAAATGAGTCTGCTGCAAAGAAACGAAAGGTAGACAATAGTATAGATGATACCAGTGGAACCAAAGTGATGGTATTACCAAACGGACCTGTACCATGTAACAAACCCTTATGTGATCTTATTCACATAGTTAAACCTTATATTCGACAACTATTAGAAGATTCTAATTTGGTATATATTCTATAAAGCATATATAAATTTCAATATTCTTGCCAGTTATTTTAATTTTTGAATTTTCAGCTGAAAATGTGGATCTCGTTTTTGATTCCAAAAATCGAAGATGGTAACAACTTTGGTGTATCAATTCAAGAAGATACACTTGCTGAAATACAATCAGTGGAAAGCGAGGCTGCCGCATTTTTCGATCAAATATCAAGGTAATGTAGATAGTAATAATATTCAGAATAAAATATAATAAAGTTTCTTCTTTGAACAAAATATAAATTATAGTCGCACAATTATATCTCTTTTAGGTATTTTATCTCTAGAGGCAAAATTGTTAGTAAAGTTGCAAAGTATCCACACATCAGCGATTATAGAAGAGCAGTTCAAGAATTAGATGAGAAAGAATATGTAAGCTTATGGCTAGTTATGTGTGAAGTCCGTAATCGTTATTGTTCTCTGCACGATTTGGTAATCAAGAACTTAGAGAAGATTAAGAAACCACGTTCTTCCAACGCGCAATCCTTGTATTAAACATTAGCTTCATATCCTATTTCTATTGGATGATGTACAGGATTGTATTAAAAAGAAAGAAACAAAAAAACAGAACGAAATTATGCTAAGAAGAGGATGTCATTCTCGACTTTTTAGTAAATAAGTTTGATGAATTATTTCCTTTTTTGATTCAATGGTCTTGACGTTGAATCATTAACATTCACTTGAGCCATATCCGAAACAATCAGCAGCTTAACAAGAAATATTATGCACATAAAGGAAAATATGTTTAGCATAGTTTATGGAGACATACCCAAATGCAGTTGATTATATTAAAACTTATAGTAATTTTGGATTTTAATTGTTTAATTATTGCAAAATTTCTCAAGAGTTCAATTTTTCTATTTTTTTTCTTTCATAACATAGATTTTTCTCATTATCATTACTTCCTTAATTTTTATAAATTCCGCTATTTAATTGCACGGTGTGACGTACTTATCTAAAATAGATCTAAAAGTATTGGAACCTTTTCATATATCTAAATTTAGAATATAGTTAAGCATGTAATTTATAATTTACAACTGTAATATCATTAGAACATAAATCGAGATATGACAAATGTTTTTGGCATATGGTATTAACTTCAAAACACCTTTTTCTCTTTCAACTACGACATACAATGCAAAAATCTAACGCAAATATTATTGTGGCTGTAAGACTTTATCCTTAAATTTTTTTTTACTGTATCAGATTACTAAGCAAATAATTATTTACTTAAAGATAAAAATCCAGAATAAATCTCGGTATTTGTAATTGACATAAACATTGAAGTGCTATTGTACAGAAATGCAATTGGATGTCAATCTGCGATTCGTCGTTGTTATTGCTTCTTTCAATTCGATATTGCTTCCCTTTCATTTATTCATTTCATTATTATTTTTTCTTTTTGATCATATTATTACTATATCTATGACCATTCGTTCTTCATCACAGATTTAAAACATTTTGAGCAATGTAGATAGATCATGCATACACACACACACATACAAAAAAAAAATACGTGAAGTTTACACATTTCTTACTATATTTTATAAAATTATAATAAAAATACAATGCAACGCAGTTCGATGTATAAAATTTGTCCAATTTAAATCAATTGTTAAAAACAGATAATATTTGTATAAAAAGTATTAATCTACATATATAAATTACGCGTTTTGTTCAATGGCAAGTTTCTATAATCATGTTTGTTGAAAAAGACCAGGATTGAGATAACAATGTTTATTGAATCCGATCGATGTTACCGTTAATGTTTGACATTCTCCTCCATTCGTTCTTTGAATTTTTAATCTTTCATCAACCTGAAGTATTAAATAATAATTGTAACTAATGTATAAAATGGCATTAATATACTTTCGTAAGATTAACTCACCATGTTTAGTAAATCCTGAAGATGAGCTTTGTGAGCATATTTCATAAATACTTCACATAAAATCTGTATGAACCAACTACCAGTTATTGTATCTCGGAAAGCAACATATCCTGGAAGAGTAGCATATACAAGTAGCATATCTTCATAACTTCTTAACATTTCCCTATTATTCCTCCTAAAATGAATCATTTCATCAAGAGGTTGTTGAAAATTGGATATATCTGTTGTGTATCTAGGTTCCTTCACTGACTTTTGCTTCTTTGCACCCCTGAGAAAAATAATTAAGGTAATAAGACACTACCAATATATGTATCCATGAAAATAATTTTTATAGTAATTTAAACACTTGCCTACATAATTGAAAAATGAAAACTTTTGGTTTTCCTGCAAGATGAGGACAATTTTCTGCAGTAAAATAACTTAAAATGTCAACACATAAAATTGTTTTACGACTTTGTATTGTGTCCAAATTGTGTTTTTCCACACCCTCTATTTCTGTAATTTCGTATTGAGTACTAATATTACCGTGACTACTAATTATAACAAAACATGAATCCACCTTACGTAGATCTTTATGTTTAGAAAATTCTTTAATTTCGTTTAGCATTTCCTTGAAAAAAAAAAAAAATAAATAAACTATGACGTATTCATCATTTGTTTCCCATTTTTCAAATATATCCATATTTACCTGTGCTGTTAGATTGCAGAAGGAGAAAACATGAAAACCCATTTGCTCAAAAAGCTGCTTCAGATTTAACTCGTCATATATTGCCGAAGTTCTAGGTTCTTTATCTGGATGCGCGTAATCAATATTTGTTATTATTAAGACTAGTCCATGTGGTTTGCTACGCATTGGATATGTCTGAACATTTTCATATGCGGCATCATCTAAAAATGATGTGGCTTTTCGTACAGAAATTTGCAATGGTTTTTCTAATACTTGTATATTGCGGAAAAAGTCACCCTGTGGTCTTTTTAAAAATATGGCAGTTATAGTAAAAATAGAATGTAAGTACAAAACAATTTAGAGCTAATTAGGAGAATTTTAAACCTTACCCTTCTTCAGTTTCAACATAAATAGGTTCTTTTATATTATTATCCTTTGTAATTTCAGTTTTTATATTATTATCCTTTGTAATTTCAGTTTTTATATTATTATCCTTTGTAATTTCATGATTAATATCTCTTTGTTCATCGTCATTATTAAAAAGTGTAGTTCTTCTTTCTTCTAAAATATCTGCCAAATCTTCATGACTACTTTGGCTTAAACTTACAAGAAACCGATTAAAAGCGTATGGTCCACGTGTTTTTATGGTCAAATATATATCACGGATAGTTGCCTCCTCTGTCAGATTTTTCTATACCAAATATAGAATATTGTTATAAAATGTGGAATATTAATTTGTTAAATAATTCTATAACATAATTTTCAATCATGAATTGTTCATTACATTACCAAAATTTTCTTACCTCCCAACGCGAAATATTCACGTCATCTCTATTAAAAATTTTATTTTGAAGAAGCTTTGGCCACAATTTAATTATGTTTATTTTAGGTATAATTTCCTCGCAACATGAGTTTAGTGTTTCCCGATGCTTCTGATCCATGTTAATAATAAATTTACGAAATTCGTTAATTACTACAACTTTGTCCGCAACTCAGATGACATTTCAACAACATGAACCAGTATCCTGATGAAAATGACTCATAGCCTAAGTAAAAAATTTTGATATCAATCGTTTTGCATAAGTAGCATCTTATCACAATTGCTATTACTAACTAAATAAATTAACGTTAAATTAATTTCTTTTAACTATCTGTTATAAATATCCTCTTCTTTTAAAGAATTTAGAAAAGAGAGTCGTGATCAACGGAAAACGGAGACATAAACAAAGACACGTGACACAGTTTATACGTTTTTTTCTTTGTCATTATACCACAGACGAGGTATAAGAATAGACCTCGCACACAATGTATTTTTTTGGCCCACGAACTCAGAACTCCCATACCATTTTTGTCGTACCGTCTTCTTTCCTTTTTTTAGAGAACTTTTCACGANATTTTGTGTGACTGATTTAGATCAAAGTTTTTTATTTTTTATTTCAAGTTAACATTTCGTGCGATTATAGCATGAAATACGCAATCTATGTATTTCCTACGATTCTCGAACATAATCGATATTTCTTACGACCGACTTTTTAAGCGGGACACTTACAACGGTGGAAGGAAGCACATCTCGTTTGTAAGAAATTGTTTAACCAGAAATTACCCGGAAAAATTATTTAGGAAAAAGTTCTCATTGAGAAGGTCACAAGTAAACATTTAAATCAATAACTGTTATATTTGTGTTTGTGCTTTGAATTTTTAAGGTAATACGTGCATTTTTGGCTTTAACTCAAGGAAGAATACACGTTTTTCTAGGACAAAACACACATAGAAAGAATGCGGAGAGCCTAATTTCACGAAGGCATATAAAAAAGTTAGCAAATTATTCCTCTTAATTAGGTTTTTTTCGTAATTAGTGCGAAAAAATTAGTCACAAAATTGACATGTGACACCATCTACCGGTAACTCAGTGGTACTAATTATTTACAAAATATTATTTCTGCATTTTACGGGTCAAATGGGGTATGAAAAGAAAGTTAAGGGACTAATTAGGGTAATACAATCGCCAAAGTTCACAATTAATTTCGCTAAATTAGGTTTTTTCGCAAATGAAAATTTTTCTGTTTTACGGAGTAAGAAACACTAACGCCGCGTTGTGGCAAACCGGTGGAACTAAACGCTCTATAACCACATAAGGGGAATAATTAATTTTAATTTTTCACGCTATTAATTTGCACTCCACGAGCATATATTTGAAAGATAATACTATCAGTTATGTTCGCAAATAAATCTGAATCTAATATTCACTATAGTTTGCGCGAAATTATGCACTCAATATTGCCACTATTACTACGTAAACAAAATTGAAACATTCTTTATATAAATAAACTATACTTAAACAAAACCTAAAAAGCAAGCGTAGGGTCTCTAAAATCGTAGACGCATAACAGTTCAAATGATTCCTCTTTTCGTACAGAAATTTGTAATGGTTTTTCTAATACTTGTATATTGCGGAAAAAGTCACCCTGTGATCTCTTTAAAAATATGACAGTTACAGTAAATGAAAAAGAGAATGTAAGTACAAAACAATTTAAGGCTAATTAGGAGAATTTTATACCTTACCTTATCTTTCTCCAGTATGATTCATTTGTTCAGCGACATTATTACAAAGTCTATATCTTCTTTCTTCTAAGATATCTGCCAAATCTTCCTGACCAATTTGGCATAAACTTATAATAAGCCCACTAAAAGCGTGTGGTCCACGTGTTTTTATGGTCAAATATATATCACGGATAGTTGCCTCTTCTGTCAGATTTTGCTATACAAAATATAGAATATTGTTATAAAATGTAGAATATTAATTTGTTAAATCATTCTATAACATAATTTTCAATCAAGAATTGTTCATTACATTATCAAAATTTTCTTACCTCCCAACGCCGAACATTCACGTCATCTCTATTAAAAATTTGATTTTGAAGAAGCTTTGGCCACAATTGAATCATGTCTATTTTAGGTATAATTTCCTCGCAACACGAGTCTAGTGTATCCCGATCCATTTGATCCATGTTAACAATAAATTTACGAAATTCGTTAATTACTACAACTTTGTCCGCTCAACTCAAATGACACTTTCCTTTAACTATCTGTTATAAATATCCTCTCCTTTTAAAGAATTTAGAAAAGAGAGTCGTGATCAACGGAAAACGGAGACATAAACAAAGACACGTGACACAGTTTATACGT